TTCGGGTCTCCACATCCCGTCGTGCTATTGATATTTGGCCGGATCTGAGAAAGGCGGAGCAGGAGTCGCAAAAGCCACCGAAGCAGCAGCGACTGGCAAAGTTTGCATAGCAAACAATGTGCACTTCTGGCAACACACACACACCCCATACACACCCTATACACATCCCCTGCCCTCCTCCACACACACACAGCCTGTTCGTTAGAGTGGCAAATCAAACAGTCCCCCAACATCACCCGATGAATATGTTTATGCCAGTTGGCATTGCAATAACTTCATAAATATGCAGTGCAGTGCCGTGCAGTGCAGTACTACGACTGCAGACTGCAGACTACAGACTGCAGACTGCAGCAGTCGAAGCTGCTGAATTTAAATTCAAACTGCGGCCACATAGTCGGACTTAAATGCCGGCCAGGGCAGAACAATGCAATTATGATTCGGCTGTCAATTAAATGCCAAATTTACAGCACCTCAAGTGCAACCGAGAAGCGGTGGAGGGCAGACTACGACCACACGCACTCCGATAACCGACAACCGACAACCGAATGGAATAAGCATAAAATAAAATCATATAAAATATCAATAAAGCACACAAATTTATTGCAGAAACATACACGGCAAAAGCGAGCAGTTGAGCATCCTGCAGGAGCCTCTCACTGTAGACTCGATATTTCCGTTTCTCGTTTGTTAATACCCTTGCGAATTTCAGCCTCATTTCAATAACAAGTAACCACTTCAATGTGTGATATACATATTATTTTTAAATACATTGTTTATAATTAAATAAATTTTTAAAATATAATAATATATATATTATATTAAATATTTACAGTGACAACAACTTGGGTTGTTTTTTTTTTTTTGTTATTTAATAGCTAGTTAATGTTTTATATCTGCTTAGTAGAATGTTTAAACATTTTTTCCCCAATATTTAAAATACAAAACACTATTGGCGTTAATAAAATATTAATATAAAATTAAGTATTACCTTTATTTTGCTGCTGACAAAAAAAAGCAATGAGTTTAGAATTAGAAAATGGTTTTTAAAAGAATACATTGATAAGGGCATAAGCAACTTCGTTTCTTGAGGCTGTCTTCTTCTTATTTGCGTTGGAGTGTGTGAGTGTTGGAAAATGCTCGTAAATAAAATACTCTCCTTGTTTCCACCCCCTCCCCTCACAGCTGCTAGCTTGACGCTCCTTATTTTCCCACCGCCCACAATTTTGCTCTGGTTGGGCCAGCGGCAAAACGATGACGAGCTGACGATGTCGTTGTAAATACCATAAAGAAAATCGTTGCCGACGTGCGGAGTCCTTGTCCATGTGTCCTGTGAGTCCTGCGACTGCGAGTGTGTGTGTGTGTGTGTGTGTGTGTGTGTGTGTCTGAGTGTAAGTGTTGTCTGAAAGGAGTTGGCCAGAAAGGAGCAACAGCAGACAGCCAGCAGGCAGGAAGCCCTGCGAAATGTTATTTATTGGAATTGTGTAATAAATGTGACCGAAAGTGCACTCGACGTAAGCGAAATGTTGCATGCCACATCTCCTAGCACTCCCCCCGCCTCCAAGTCCATCCGTCGTGGGGCTTCCAGGACACTCGGTTGCATTAGGAGCCACCAAATGATGCAAATGAAGGTGGACCAGCCAGCCAGAACCTATGCGCATCCAAATGACCATTATCCATTATCTTGGGCTTGGATGACAGGACATCTTCCCGGGCAAGAAATCTTCATTATCCCACAGTCTGTATTACTATTTGACTCCAACTCTGAGAGCATCCCTTTTTTCGTAGCTAAATAAATACTCAAAAAAAATAAAATATTATTACCAAAAACATTTGTTCAAGTCAGTAAAATATATAAATAAGCAATTAATATACAACTTTCACAGAATATTAATTATAACTTAAGAACCTGACAGAATAGTTACAAAAAAAAAACACAGTAATTAATAGTAATGGATAACAAAGAAATGTAATAAAATAATATTGATGTAAAAAAAAACATTTACCATTTAAACTCATATTCCTAAGTTCTTTCAGTTCTTTATTTTGATATGTAAATAAAATAGTGCTCACTTTACACAGTACTTAAAGTTTTCAAGGAAGTAAGTTTCACATCCTTTTCGGTGCTTCCGCCACTTAATTCGATGAAAATAAAATACTATCCCTATCAATCAATCAATACGTGCTGATGTAAGCAAATAATCCAGTACAAAATTGAGACGTCACGCGCGATTACCGAACGTAGTGGCAGGACATTTCGAGGACCACAGGACCACAAGCAGTATGTTCGACCATTACGTATACGTATGATCGGCCCGACAGATTGGGCACCATGCACGCTTATGGCTACGTGATCGCCCAGTTGAGAGGGCAAATATAATAGGGGACTCGACGCGACTACTCGCAATTTGTGTCCTCGGGTCTGGGCATTTGCATCTGCATTTGCATATATACATATATGTGTGTGTGTGTACACATATCCAAAAACCACAAAACACTCGGCAAAAGCAGTCGAGTCGAGTTGGCCAGAACTTCCACCCACACCGACTGCTGCCCACTTGGCTTGGATTTAGCTGAATATGGTTAATTTTGTATAAATTCTTCAATAATAATGAAAAATATGTCCCTTTTTCCACAAAAATAATATTTTCTTTTCACACATTTTCATAGTTTTACATTTTCTTTAATGAAAACTGTAAAGTTTGGTAACTTTTAAGTTATTATGCTGGGGACTATATTTTATAATAAAATAAAACGTTTTTTGGAGTTAACAAGTTAACTTTCCCAAATTTGTTAAAAAAAAAACATTTGGGCATTAAATAAAGAAGCGAAATGCTTAAGCTACTTTTTCCAACTTATAGTTATATTATTATATTAGCAGTGGGCATTCCTGTCGCCACCCACTTGTCCAGCTGCATTGGCAAATCTAAACGGTCCTTAAGCGCCCCTTTCCCTTTCGCCCCCTTTATACCCGCCCCTGTCTGCAGCACACACACATGGCACCTTTCCTTTGTCCCGAAAATTTCAATCGATTTGATTTATATGCAAAATATTTAAATTTTATTGCCAGTTTGCATATGGGCCAGACAGACGGACAGACGGACAGAGAGTCAGGACCCAGGAGGCTTAAGTGAGATCGATAGTTATAGTTGGACCCACACACACCCACACACACACCCACACACACACCCACACACAAACAACTACATACGAGTAAAGTCGGAAAAACAGCTGAGGTTGTGAAGATAATTTATGCAGCTTTTGGTAATATTGAAAACGAAATTTAAATGCAAACAAGGGAAAGTGTTGGGAAGGCCAGTTTTCCTAAACCAACCTAAACCAACCCTCACCTGTTTTCCCCATGTGCTTGGTTGTTTGTTTGCATTGTTTTTCTGCTTGTGTTGGGAAAAATTCGGTTATGGCCAAAACAAGAAATGACCAGCGATTAAAGGCCATCGAATCTCGGAAGATGGCTCTTCAAATGCAACTAATGGAGGCCTCCTCCGTCCGGTTTTTCGTGTCGCCAACTTGCAACTTTCCACATTTTTCATTATGTCGCAGACAAGGCGTAAAATGAAAAGGAGCTGGAAATGCGAAAACGCCGGGGGGCGTGGGGGGCGTGGGAGGCGTGTCAGAAATTATGTTGATTGTTTGCTCTAGCCAAGGAAATAATTAAGCAAGACATGGCAGCAACGGAGACATGGGCAAGAAACTCGAGCATATTTCGCTGGCGCCAAGTCAAAAACATATATATATATATATATATATATATACCAAATATATCTGGGCTTTCGTGCACAGAGAAAAATAAATGTAAGTAAATATATAATATAGAAAATAAATAAATAAAATTAAGAGAGTTTTAAGTCTCATTTTAAAGGGACTTCATATTTATATTTACTTAAAAACATGCAATAAAATAGTTAGAAAGCACAAATTTTTCATCAGCACATTATTAAATAAAGAGTTTTTTTTTTTAACTCATTGCTTGGTGCACACTTTTACATCATTCATTTTATTTTCCCTTGGTGTACGTACTTTAGCATCGTGCTGCAAAAACAAATTTCAAAATTGTCAACAGCTTTTTGTGACTCATTGTGTGTGCGATGGTTTTTTGTTGCTGCTCCAAGTTAATCTAATTAGTGAGCCACTTGGAGCTGCAGTTTTGATTTACATTTCGAGCTGCCACTGGAAATTAGCCAGGGAAAGGCAGTCGCCCCCTGAAATAGTCGGGACCCAAAAGTTTTACTAATTTCCGTACAATTCACTCCAAATGTTCGAAATAGATCGGTGGCCATCGCCGCTTTGCCTTTGCCGAGTGTCGGCATTATTTCGTTTCGATTTCGGTTCATTTTATCGCATTTCATTAGTGGCAACAGCGGTTCCAATTTCCCAATTCCATTTAGTTTTCGACTGGCATTTTACAATTTCGCATTGCCCCCTCTGTAATGTTCCCTTCCCTTCCCTTCTAATCCCGCTTCCGATGAGATTTTATTTATTTAATACGTATACGTTGAATGTCGAAGCGAAGCGCGTTCCTTTGTTCTCGTCGGTCCCTTTGTTTGGCCTAACTGGGCAAATATTTGGCCAACGAAAAGCGGGGCCACAGCTCCCTTGATAAGCGATAAGCCTCGTCTCGCCAGGGCCATGAATAAATTAGTTGGCCAGCCCCAAAAGATTTTGCTGTTGGTCAAGAAAACATCATAATTTTTTCACCGAAAACGATTTTTTGGGTGGTCGTCAAAGGAGAAGCTTTAGTCGAGTTTTTGATTTTCTTATTTCATTTAAAGTATTTTTCATATAACAAGAATTATAAAAATTATAAAAAATAAATAAAATAAAGATGAATGAATCCATTATTTTTAAAAATATAAGACCGTGCAGTAACGACTTAAGTTATTATTAATGAAACAAATTTTTTTCGTAGGTCAATTTTCAATTTTCAAGGAAGCCATGTGATGTACTTCAACCAAAATGTCAAATGGCCCAAAGGCCAGTTCATAACCCCCTTCAGTTATAACTTGAACTCCATCGGCGTTAGAACGCAATCATATACAGTTTTTTATTTATTTAACTTATTTTGTATTATAGAAATTCAAAGGTTGGTATGCAGTTAGCAAAAAAGTTGATAATAAATTTGATAACTTATATCCAGAGCCACCATGAGCATAAAGGAAAATTCAGAGGTGGTGGAGGAAAAACCAAAAATCAATCGAGCAGAAATGTATACTTTTGGTGAGTTGTATCGGGCATTTAGGAACATAACCGTGCCCGGATTTGTGTGGAAAATGATCCTCTGTAGCGATCCAGTGCTGACTCTCATCTACATGTTCATGGGACTCTACGTCCTTGACGTGCTGACCCGCTACACCCTGGTGCAGCTGGTGGGCGTGGTGAGTCTGACGCTCCTGGCCCACGGCATCGCTTACACCGCCATCCGTCCGCATTTGCGATTGCTGCCCTACGAGAATGTGATGGATGTCCGTCGAGCAGATTTGACCGTATCGCCGGAAGTGGTCGCCCTGGTTGTCCGCTACTCGACCAACTGGATCAATCGCTGGGTGGCCACGGTGCAGTTCCTCCTCTTTGGGCCTTACCTCGTGGCCACTATCCTGGTGAAGATCGCCCTGCTGGAAGTGTACAATGCCTTCCGCTGGCTGGAGCTATCAACACTGATCAAGTTCGGTAAGTGGCCCTTTAAAAATTGTAAATGAAGACCTATGCAAAAATCAATTACATTAAATGATAATGTAATTGCAGATTACAATGCATAGCAACAATATTTAAGATGATTTCACTAATTATTAATAACTAAGTTTAGGATTAATATATATTGAGACTTAATTTAAGAATACAATCAGATTACAATCAATGGGAACTAAAACTGCAAATACAAATATTAAAAAAAAAGAGATTGGGAAATTCAGCAATTCAAATTGATACAACTTTTTTATAAGTTTAAAACTGCAGGACATTTATTCTGCCTTATTTTATTTGAAACGTTTTACACCATCATTAAATATATCTAGATAAAATGTTGGGTTGGTGAAATACAACTGCAGATGATATATATTTTTTACTGCGAAACTTAAATATTTAGAATTTAACCAAATCAATATGTTATTTTATTTTTCCATAGCCTACTGCATGGCGTTCGTTCTGCCAAGAATCTGTCGCGTTTTCTGTCTTTGGCTTGACTCGCAGCCGCCCAACGGCCACGTCCACTGGCTGATCAGAAAGGCGACCACGGGCAGACGCCTCTTCCTGGAGGCCCTAAAGGAGGCCATCGAGGAGACCCTCGAGGAGGACCACGATGAGGACAGCGAGGAAGACCTCACGGAAGACCTCGAGGAGGTTTTCGAAGATACCTTCGAGGAGGCCTACGAGGAGGCCTTCGAGGAGGCAATCAATGGGGTGCAACTGGAGATCCCAAAGAAAAAAAAGCAACAGCCCGTGGTGGGGTGGATATTCATTGGCAGGAGACCAGCAAGTATCGACGAGGCCTTCATCGGATACACCCAAAACACTGACTTGGCGAAGGAAAGCATTGAGGAAGAAGCGGACTTTTTTTAAAAAATGATTTAATTTTCATTTCTTTTGGTTAACTGTTACTATCCAAAACAAAGTATTCACATTATGGGGTTAAGGGCTAACACTAATGATATCCAAAGAACATGACCATGTTAAACAAATTCTTTCCAAATAACTATATACACTTACACTTTACACGAAACAAAAGTGTATTGTTTTATTGGATTTTGGTACATTGGTAAAGAAAAGCTTGGTAAGTCCAAATATTTTCTATTCAATTTAAATATTTCCCTTTGATTTTATTTTATTTAAATTTAAGCCATATTTGTTTTAAATAAAATGCATAGAAACTATTTGAATTTTTTTTAATATTATGATTGCGTATGTAATTTTAATATTTAACACAAAAATTTAAATTTAAAAGTCAGATATTTAGTTTTCATATTCCATTTTTTCATCAGTTTAAATATAAATTAAATTGAATTAAAAATTAACTATGGAATCTTGTTTAACAATAATGTATTTTTTTCCATTTTTTTTTCGATTATTATTTAAACATTTTCGTGCATGAATTTAATAATTTAATAATGTCTTAAAATCTTAGATATGACCAGGTCGAAATTGTGTGTGATATTTGGTGGGGAAAATAATTAAAGCCTGTTGTTTTTTCGCGCAACTTGCGTGAAAAAAAAATCGCGCCCAGAACGTGACAAGCGATGGTGAAGTTAAAGGCGCCGAAGGCAAACAAGCTGGCGACCCATTGATGTGGGTGTCATGCAAAGTGGGCGGTGTGTGAAAGTGGGCGCCGGGCGAAAGTGGGTGGCGGATGCGATGCAGCCTTGGCAGTGGTTAATCATTAAAGCCGCCTCCCCGGGCCAGTGGCTCAAGATGGTCAGATTTATTCATTAGCGGGGTGTGAGGGGATGGAAAATCACTGCGGGCCATGAGAGCATTAAAAATTTAGTGAGCTCTTGGCAGGAGGTACACGAAAATCGAAGGAGAAAGCAGGAAGGGAGGAGAAAGGCGACAGGAAGTGGGGGAAAATTGGGCAACGGAGGGGGAGGGGTGGCTCCTTTCTTCTTGCAATTTGCACTCAATTGCAATTTCCGTTCGCCGCTGCCGTTTGCTACGTGGCTGCCACGTGAAAAGCCATTGCCCGCCCGCATTTCCAGCCCCTCCCTTAGTCACCATGCTGCACGCCTTTCTACCCCCTTACTACCCCCCTTGCTACGCCCTTGCCTACGTGCTGAGCGGCATAAAACGCGCTGAAATTTGTTTTGCCATTTTGTTTAGTTGTTAGTTGCTGTGGCGGCGCGAACTTCCCGCCCTTTCCGTCTTTCCCACCCCCTCCCTCTACCACCGTTTTTTTTTTTTAAATATCAATATAAAACGTGACAGAATGGACTTTTGCCTCGGCAAAGCTCAGGAAGCACTGCGGCTGAGGGACAGGAGAATGCACTCCGAAAAATGTCTTTCATTTGTTTCATCTCATTACGAAAAATATATAGAAACATATTTAAATTCGTGTAAAAAAAATGTTGACAACATTCCTTTTTGATGATTTGATTTGTAAGAAACAACAATTTCTATGCAAATATGAGAGGCTTCCTCTTTTGAATAGTTTATATTTTTATTTCGTAAAATATTTAGTTCCGGATTATTTGTTTCAGAATTTGTTAATATTTTAAAATTGTTGGATACAAGAAAGTTCAATAAAAACATTTTTGTTTTATATATAATGATTTTGATTGCTCAATTCCTTAAATAATATTTTAAAATAATTAATTTGACGTAAACAAAAATGTTAAATGTTCGTTCTTCCTCTTAAGATTTATTAAATATTCACTCAACAAAATTAAATGAAAAATAGATTGCTTAAAAGTAATGCCATTTTTGTTGTCCTTAAATTAAAAATACTTCGATAAATACTATAACACATTAGCATTAAGATTACAATTTTGAATTGCAAAATATGAATACCATTTTTGTAAAGTGCACCGTTTAAAGCAAATCTGAGGAACAGAATTTCCGTAAGCGGTTTAACTGCCCGGCGATGGGCAGGCATAAGTAGGCGTTGGGCGGTCGGAAAATGAGGGGCGGGTTCACGCATTATAATCCGTTTATGGACGTCACCCCCGTCCGAGACCGAAATCTCTGCTGAAATCCAAGGAAACGAGACCCGTTCCAAATGAGACGCCGACTTAGCTGTCCCTCACAATTGTGGAATTAGTCGATGATGTCGGATAACCAGGATTCAATACGGGCATCCGGGGAAACACTGGGTTCAGGTGCGCAGGATGCATGCTCTCCAGGCTCACGGTGCTCTACTCAAGGTTTTTACGCATAATTTTATTTTTTGCCGTCAAGTATCCGTAAGAACTTTTATAAAAGCCCCAATTTGAATTATATCTTAAATAGCCCACAACATGTTTTTAAAATTTGGGAACGCAAAATTTAATGATTTTTTGATTTAAAAAATCATATTGTCTTGTTTGAGTGACATTTGAATTTATTTTGTTGAATTGTTGATTTTTCGTTTTTAATTTTTACATACAAACAAAGGTCAAAACCTTTAGTCAGAAATTAAAATCCCTCAGCATGAGAAATATTATTGTTTTACTTAAAGTTTGTAGCCTCAAATCCCCAAATGAAACTTTGAACTTAGACTCTTATTTATGAATTAATTATTTATGTGTAGGTAAACGACTTACTGCTGAAATCGCAATTAAAGTTTGACTCCAGTTTACCAAAAACAACAGAAAAAAAAAAACTTGGAAAATGGGCTGCAGTTTCTGAGTTGCTGAAGTTAAAGACATGCTTTGGTTGCAGTTGCCATTGTGCAGCGGAGCATTGCAAAGATGCCCCGGGCCAGGAGTGTGATGATCCTGATTTCAAAGGCATATGCGCTCCGTTCTGGATGCCATCGGGGGGTCGCTTTTTCGACTCGGCCAAATGGACTCACGGTCGATGACGCTGCCTTTCAAAAGGACAGTCCCCTATTCCGGTTTGAATGGCGAGGCGGCTGTAGAAAATCAGACAGAGGTTTTCCCCGGTTTCCATGGCACACTGCATTGTGTGCATTTATACACACAGATATGTATGACAGGGGTAATGGGAGGCGAACTGTGTTGGTGAAAATTGCATTCAGCGAGTGTTTTATGGCCGTGTTCGGCACTCCGACTGCGGCTGCTTTATGAATGCATAATTTTATTATGCACAAATTCTATTTACAACGCGACACGTTGCGTGAACGGTTCATGAGGCGCAAAGTGCGAGGGTAGCTTTAGAATTTCGCAACCTATTCAGAACCTATTTTAGCTTCTTATAACACCGACTGCTCGATTGCACCTGGCTGACCATTTGATTGTAATTAATATTTGCATTTCAATTGCATTTGCGCTAGTCGGCAGTAAAACCGGTTTTTGTGGCCAGTGGCCAAAAATTTGCCACGCCCTCTGACACGCCCACTGCCACGCCTCAATTATCACATATGGCGGGACATTGATTAAACATTTAACTGTCCATAAGTATTTTAATAACTATTTCGGCGCTCCGAAAAACAATTTCCCAACGGCTAATTGTGGGTGTTTAGTTGGATCAGTTCATGGTTGCCAGCCCCAAACCAACCGAATGTCAACCAAATAGAAACGACCATTGGATTGAATTCGGGTTTGCACCGCCAAAAAATATGAGAATTAAGTGATATCTATGTCTGTAGAGTTTTAATTTAAACATAATTTTAAATCAATAAATTAAAATACTTTAAATTAATGTGATGTTTTAAAATCGTTTTCAAATAAATTTCATTTTGTAAATATTTTTAACGTGTAAGCCAACTCTTGTGATATCTTTTAGAAGAGTGAGTTCCAACAATAGTCTTCAAATATTTCTATACGCTCTGGATCTTTCGAAACTGAAATACAATTTTATCGAATTTCCTAAATCTTTCAAAATTTGTAAGCCATAATTTGGGTCTTTTCTTAAAAAACCCACAATGTAACATTTTATGAATCTGAATTTGATTTGGTTATGACACCGTTGGAGTCATTTTTTAAGAAGTCTCAGACACGTCAAATAAAAACTCCCCGAAACAATTTTTGACCGTGTAGGGACTCCATGGGCATATGGTTAGGGCACCCAGCGATGATTGCTTCCCTCAGGGCGCTCAGCATCGACATTGACATGGTCCAGTGCGTATAAATCAACAGCTGCAGCAGGTTTTCCGGCCCAAACAGTATGTTGGCGAAGGGGGAGGGGGGACTAAAACGGGGACAGCAGCAGGCAGCGGGTTAAAAATCCTTTCAAGTGGTCAACGGACGCAAATCCCTGTCCCAGTATCCTTACATCCCGCATCCTTGTGCCTTTGCGGTTGAATTAAGACAAACAAAAGGCACTGACAGAAAATGGGGAATGGGAAATGGAGAGCTCTGCTTAGATTACGCATACGCCGTGTTGAGCAGTGGGTCCTAGGGGGTACAGGGAAATGGGGTCGAGAAAAGAAAGTGCAACTCACATGCACGGCAACAGAAGCAGAAACAGAATGTGGAGATGGAGCTGGAAAAGGAGCTGGGTTCTGGAGTGGCAGGACAAAAACGAAAAAGGGCAAACGCAAAATGTAAATGGGCTTTTCACAAAATGAATATTAAATTGCAAGTGGGGTAAGGAAAAAGGCAACGGGCGCGGGAAGGGGTGACTTTGCCAGGGGGTGTTAGACATGTCTGAGCCGCCATTAACATGGCCGAAACCGAAGACGAAGCCTCCACTGGGTTGGCTTAGAAACACTTTGACGGCTTTGATTTTCGCCTGGGCTTAGGTGCGGTTTCCCTAGTCCGCATATTCATTTTCTTACTATTTCTTTTGTGGCCAATGTGAATATGATTATCGCTACGATTGCCAAGATGGGAAATCTGACAGTCTAAAGGCTGCTATCCTTTGGTCTCTTTATTGGAAGTATCGACAAGGCAGAGAATGATAATTCAAGAGCATAAATATATTGCTATTATTCTTTAACTTTAATCCATTTCTTTAAAAAATTTATTTCGTTTATTAAAAAAATGTTTTTTTGTAACTTAAGAAAAAATAAAGCTAATAAAGAGTTTAAGTTTTTAATATCTATAGATTTTTATGACTATAAATATTTTTAAGGTACAAGCTTACATTATGAACGTTGTGTAGATATTTTTAATTTATTTATTTATTTTA